CCTTGAATTTGCAGTCTTCTTGCCTCAGCCTTCCAAGTTGCTGGGATTACAGGCATGTATTACCAGGCCTGGCTTTTGGCTTGTATTTTGAGACAGTCTTACTTAAATTGCCCAGGATGGCCTCCAATTTATAATCCTCCTGGCTCATCCTCCCCTGGGATTACAGGTGTATATTTTGTGCCTGGCTAGACTCATATAGGAACATGTGTATGTGGTGTGTGTAAGTAAATATAGGTATACACTCTTTGTATTTTGCTCAATTATTTCCTTAAATTCTTAGCAGTGAAATTCTTGGATTAGCTCCTCTGAATTTCTGGGAGCCATTTCCCTTAGATTTTTCTTTGCCATACCTACCCAAGATTCCTGAAGCAATGGTGGTTTGGAAAATATTCAGCAGGATGGCATGAGAAGTAAAGGAATTCTGCTATAGCTGTATTGCTACTGCTTTATCTGGAACTGCAATCACACTGGCTCCCCCAGGTTCCCATAGTGATTTTTTCGGAACTTAGAGAAGTCTGAGCATTATAGACTGTTTCTACAATGCTAAGGACTATGTATCTAGAGATTGAAAATGACTGTCAATCTCCTATCACTATCATGCCCTTTATTTTCCTCCCAGATATATATATGGTTTCATGTAGGAGGCGAGTGTCATTTTGAGATATATCATATTATGAACTGTGAATCTTTTTATATATCTGTATAAGACACTCTATGTTCTCTGACATTGCCACAGGTATAATGTTGTCATTAGCAGAGCAGCAAACATTCAGCTCAGAGAAACAGAAACTTAATCAGGGAATGAATGAGAAGAATCTGTAAGATGACTAATGAAGCATTATTTTCAAAAACCTATGTAGCTAACATTTTTATATTATGAGGCAAAACTAAGTTTTGAATATGTGGAATAGTTTGGATACTGGCTTTAAGAAGATTCTGCTCAGAGGGACTTGTATCACATATCTAGAAACACTTTTTACTCTCAATAATAGCAGTGATCAGATTATTTGGGAAGTAATCAGAGTTAAACTGTACGACAACAACTTAATCCTTTCTCCATTTATCTTTTTATCTCTGTCATGAAATATAATGGCAGATCTGATGCCATTTTTGTCAAATGTAATATAGTCATATGTCTCTTAATATCAGGGCCAATTTTTAAGAAACACATCATTAGGCAGTTTCATTATTATGCAAACATCATAGCATATGCTTACACAAACTAAAACTACTGGACTTCACTAAGTGATGTAATCTTATGGGACCAGCCTCATAAATATGTAGTCCACCATTGACCAAAACATCACTACATATTAAAATGATGAGTGCTGGAATTAGAACTCTGGTAAAGTGCTTGCTTAACATGTCCAAGGGTCTGGGTTTGACACTCAGAACCTCAAAAGATAAATAAATAAAATAAAATAAATTTTGGTTCCAGAGTGAGTTGTAGATAAGAATTCCCAAATAATCTTTCCTGAAAGTTTCAAAATTAGCTGAGTACCAATCTTTCAATGATAGTTTAATTATAGTTCTCCCTTGAAAAGTGGGTACATTTTTTAGAAAATGGGCTGTTAATAAACATGGTCAGCTTTAATAATATCTAAAAGTTGAAGGACATTATTTTGGTGGTGGTGAAATTTTGATACTGTTTATAAAATATTAAAATTTATATCCAAGAATGAAAGAAATTAAAAGTGGCAGAAATCTGCACAGACCATTGAGGGAACTTCATCAAAGGAAATATGTACTGCAGGACACTGTAGATTTGCTGCGGCAGAATCTAAGGGGGGCTTACAACCTGTGTTTTTTCCTTTTCTTTTTCTTTCCTTTTTTATGAGACTCAGTTTTGCTAAGTTGCGGAGCCTGGCCTCAAAGTTGTGATCCTCCTTCCTCGGCCTTCCAAGTCATTGGAATTAATAGGCGTGTGCCACCACGCCAACTACATGTGTTTTGAAGAGCTTCCTTAGTGTGCTGCTCTGCACACCAGTTGCTTATGGGATACTCGCCAAATACTTCTTATATCACATCTGATAAGCAGAGTAGTTGATGAAAAGTTTTGCAGTTTTTAAATTTAAGTTCAAGGTCTACTTTTTGTATTACTAATCACCATAAAGTCTACCTGTCTTTATGTAATTTAATATTTTTTTTCTCACCCCTGGTGTAACTGTAATTTTGTAAATACTATATATTTGAATTATGTGTTTTCATCTTATCTTCATTGCTTGAGTTATAAATTAATGAAGAATAAAGAACCTATGTCTTTACATATGTTTATAGATGAATAAACGTACCTTTCACTTGTATGTCTGATACATGTTGACTACCTATTTCAATGTACCATAATACTGATAACTAATGTATAGAAATTCTATACACTGCCATCTAGAGCAGAAGTATAGAGGATTTCTCTGCCTTTTTTTAAATACCAGGAAAAAATAGAAAATCTTGAAAGATGTTTTCAGGTAGTTTAAATGCTGGTTTAGTAAGTGACCAATTTCCCTCTTTTACCTTTGTATGTGTTTCTCATAAATACTCAGGAAAATTTAGGGGCAAAGATTAAGAAGAATCAGCTCCAGGCATGAGTCAAGAGCCTTCTAAAGAATTGAATGATAGGGGCTGGGGATGTGGCTCAAGCGGTAGCGCGCTCGCCTAGCATGCTCGCCTAGCATGCGTGCGGCCCGGGTTCGATCCTCAGCAGCACCACATACCAACAAAGATGTTGTGTCCGCCAAGAACTAAGAAAAAAATAAATAAATGTT